GCGTCAGACTCCGATGTAAACATTCATCATGTCGTCTGCTGTGTTTTGGTTTTTATTTCTGCTCAATCTGTTTTTGTACACAAGAGGATTTACTGAAGTCCAGCAACTATCAGATTCATGCTACAAACCAATGAAGGACCACAGACCATCATTCATTAAGTATGGAATATATCTCATTTGTATATATATTTTACTTGCAATAACAACTTTTACGTTTTTACACTTACAAAACGTACAGTACTGTGTTAATAGTTGGATAAGTACGATTTCAATATATTGTATTTTAGTACATATACCATGGTAATACCATGTTATATGGGCAGGTACCTTATTTACTATGGTAGTATCATCTCTTTTTTTTTTTTTTTACACATACCATGGTAAAACCATGTTTTTTGAATGCACCATTATAGTACCTCGGAACCATGCATATCTATTCTATATAAATATGGTCATCTCACTGCCAAAAAAAAAAAAGATTTTACTCAGTATTTTTGTCTATCTAATATTTTGTATCTAAAAATTCTTAAATTGAAGTAAACAAGATACATTTACTTGAGAATCAAAATGACCTAGTTCTCATTTTCTAAAGAATGTATCAAAATGAAGTGATTTCTGATGAAGAAATGTCTGCTTAAAACAAACAAACAAAAAAAAAAAAATTGTTGGTGTGGTAAGAATAATCTTTTTTTTCCCTCTTTTAATTAAATGTATTTATCTTGCCCTATTGGCAGATATTTTTTTCTTGTTTTAAAATACTCAATTTTTTTACTTTCCTTTTTTCAGAAAAGGAAATGTAGTATCTAAATATTTTTTAAATAAAGATATATTTACTTAAGAAGCAAAATTACAAGACTTGAGTTTATGTTTAAAACAAGAAAATTGGTGGTCAATAGGGTAAGAAAAGTAAATCTAATCAAATTTTCATTCTCAAGTAAATTTGAGTAAAACATTTTTTTTGTTTTTTTTTGTTCAGTACCGTTACCTTCACCTTTTACATGGAGGGTAAGAGGCAGGGCAGTTAGGAAGGTAATGAGATGTTATGAGATGTTATATCAAATCTAAAAGGCACTAACTGTATTTTAACCTGATGTTTACAATGTGTCTTCTGCTGTCAATTACTGAACTGATATGATACTGGTTCTGTAATAATAATAATAATCCATGCATGTTTTAGGACATACCCCCGGCCTCATGAATATGTAAACATCTCTGATCTCCCCGCCTCCTGGGACTGGCGCAACATTGATGGCAAAAACTATGCGAGCGTCACACGCAACCAACACATCCCACAGTACTGCGGCTCCTGCTGGGCCATGGGCGCCACCAGCGCACTCGCAGGTCAGACTCAGGACACTACAGTAGAGTACAGAAACTTCAAGTCAAACACATGCATTTTTCTGTCTTAAACTCAGATCGCATTAACATCAAGAGGAAAGGGGCGTGGCCTTCTACTTACCTGTCAGTGCAGAACGTGATTGACTGTGGCGGGGCAGGCTCATGCTACGGTGGAGATCACATGGGTGTATATGCTTATGCACATGAGCACGGCATTCCTGACGAGACCTGCAATAATTATCAGGCCCGAAATCAAAGTAAGACACCAAACTCTGCAATGACATGAGATGCTATAAAACTATATGGAGGCTTGTTTCTGCCATGGGATAAAAAAAATAAAAAGGGAATTGTGACTTTTTAATCTCACAATTCTGACTTTTCTCGCTATTCTAAGAAAAAATGTCAGAAGTGCGAGATATGGGGCCACATTTATAAAGAGTGCATACACAGATTTGATCTTAGAGTGTGTGTACACTTAAATCCACACTATTGCTCATATTTGTAAAAACTGCCTTTGACTTAGAATAGTGCTTAGCATCACGTCAGGGTCTGAGCAGACGTACACACTTTCTTGTCAGAGTACTGCAGGTTTTAAGCTGTTCTTGCAGCGCGCTGTTCTAAATGAAAGGATTTGGATGATGACTGGTGAGCTTTTATATGTTAATGACATTAATTAGGAGTCGTTTACAAGGCAGAGAGCTGAAACCATTCAGTTGCGCACAAGTTCAAGATCATTTGCGATTCATAGATTTTACATCTGAAAGAGAGGTGTATGTGCGTATGTTCATTCATCACACCTACGCATATTTGAGAGATGATCGTAAGATCAAATTTAGGATGGTTTCTGTGCAACATTTTATAAGTGAGGCCCATAATCTTGCAATTTTGAGAAAAAAGTCAGAAATGCGACTGTTAGAATTGTGAGATTTAAACGCGCATTTCTAAGAAGAAAAAAAAGGCAGAAATGTGAGATACAAACTTGTAAAATCTTAAGCAAACAGAATTGTGAGATACAAACATGCAATTCTGAGAAAAAAAGTGAATGTGAGATACTGTATAAACTCACAATTGTGAGAAAAAAGTAAGAGTTAGGAATTATTACAAGATGTAAACTCAAGAGTTTACAACAGTTCATATCTTGGAAAAAAGCACTGTGAGATATACACTCAGATTTGCGAGAATAAACGTCAGAAATGTACGGATGGCATGGCATGCAGGAAAAAAATAGTAGAACGAATTAGTAAATTGTGCGCACGATTTAGCAAACCGAGGGAAGGAAATAGTAATCGTGTGCACGTTTTAGTACAGCGAGGGAATGAATGAGTAAATCGTGCTCATGATTTATTTATTTTTTCTTGCTTGTCATGTGCGGGGCTCCGTAGAAATGTGACAAATGCGGGGGGGGTTATCTCATGGCAGAAACAGGCCTTCATAAAAATGTCATATGAGTTGCCTATTAAAGGAATTTTTTTATCATTACAAAATGCAAATGTGAAATTATTGCAACTTGCATTAAAACATTTGTCCAAGTAACAACAAAATAATAATTGCACTAATCATGCACTAATTTCTCCTGTATTTTATGCACACCGTAACAGTGAAGTTCACTGTAAGTTGTAGTGGATTTAAACATTGTCTTTTTTTTTCTTCTCCTACTTTTTTTTTCTGTAGAATGTGACTCATTTAATCAGTGTGGCACATGCTCGTTCTTCGGTTCCTGCTCTATAATTAAAAACTACACCGTGTGGAACGTTGGAGACTATGGAGACGTCTCAGGACGAGATCGCATGAAGGCTGAGATCTACAAAAATGGGCCAATCAGGCAGGTTCTACAGCCCATATTTTTAGTTAAATATAAATAAAAATAGTAAGCTACAACTCTTGGGCCTCAATGGCAGAAAAATCCATATGATGCCATTTTGATAAAAGTATTTGGCTATGGTTCATTAACAGTGCAGGGCTATTATAGTTAGTTAACTAAAACTAAAACCATAAAAACAGTTGCTTGACATAAAATAAACTTTAAATTAAGTATATTAAAAAAATACATTACATTTATTTAGTTTTGTTAAGTTGGCAAGGCAATATTTAGCATTTTCATTTAGTTTAACAATGAGCTAAAATAAATAAAACTGAAATAAAAAAAAATAAAAAAACCTATATAGACAAAAAAAAAAAAAACTTTGAAAAAAGAATATTTACGAATAAAAACAATTTCAAAATATTAATAAAAACTATAATAGTATCTCAGTGATACTAAAATAACACCAGTTTACAGTTGGTGCATTAATTCAATTCAAGCTATTTTAGATGGGCTTTAATCAAATTTCAGCTTGATTTTGTCTATACCAGTGAACTTTGCCGCTGTGTCAGAACAGTTTCTTTGTTTCTCTGTGTTGTAGCTGTGCAATAATGGCCACTAAAGGCCTGGAGGCGTATGATGGAGGGGTTTTTGCTGAATTTCACATTCTGTCTATGCCGAATCACATCATCTCAGTGGCAGGCTGGGGCGTCACAGAGGATGGGACCGAATTCTGGATCGTCAGAAACTCCTGGGGCGAGTTCTGGGTTAGTAGAGTTACAGCGGCCTTCAAAGGGCTTTGGTCTGACCTGTTCAGCTTTACAATAACGAGACCTGTGGATTTAAGAAAAAAAGCATTGAAGAAATTAAACACATTGAAGAAAAAATTTACCTTGAAAATGAAAGTTATGTCATTTACTCACCCTCACTTGGTGTGTTTCAACTTTCAGAAACCTTTACTCTCTGCTTCTCTCTGGTGGAATTGTGTATGCTCTTGTATTGTAAGTCGCTGTGATTAAACTGTTTGTCTTGTGTTTTATAGGGAGAGTCAGGCTGGGCCAGGATTGTCACCAGTGCCTATAAGGGAGGTAAAGGAAACTGGTACAATCTCGCCATCGAGCACTACTGTGCATACGGAGACCCGATCGTTACATAGATCAGGAGGAGCCAGTTCCTCACATAGAATTAGAATTGACTCCGTCTTGGAATTGACTTGGGATCAGACCTTACAGAGCACAGAGAGACTGTTTATAACTGCTAAGAAATCGAATCTAATTGTTCTGGGTGTAAATAATTGTTGTCATATCAAATATGGGAGATGTCACATTACAATCTTTGTAGCAGAGTGAGAATGGAAATGAGTGACGGTACACAATTAAGTGATACTTGATTATTTTATTAAAAATCGTCATGTAAAATTTGCCAAACACTTAGGAGTTTTAACAAAGCAAGGATGGTAACTTTAATTTAACGTTGAAATATTGCACACATCATAAATCAGAAGTCCCCCTATAATTGCACTTTACTATTTGTTTTTGTTCTAAACAGAACATTAGAACAAAATGAAACCTCCATTCTAAAAACAATTCTGTACTTTTAGCAGTGTAGCAATTGAATAGTTTTTTTTTGTTAATTTTAGTCATTGAGTGAATCTCTCTAACCTGCTAAAAAGGTGTCATTTTTCTCTTAAAGGAATATTTTACTCAAAAATGAAAATTCAGTCATCATTTACTAACCCTCATTTACTTCCAAACTATGAGTTTATTTCTTCTGTTGAACACAAAAGAAGATATTTTGAAGAATGTTGGTAACCAAACAGTTGACGATAGCCAATGTACAGATCATAAAGCATGTAAATACATGAATGTATGTGTTTGTTATTAAATACCAGACTGTACAAACAGTACTTTGGGTCTAAGCTCCATCTCTCTATTATTGGTGTTGGTGAGAAAAAGGCTGAAAAAGACTCCTGCTGTATAATGTCTAGAGAGAAAAAAACAATATTGTAAAATAAATGTAAAACATTTCCACATCAGGGTTGTATTTGTTGTATCGCCTTTAATGTATCTGGATTTTATTTTAAAGTCATTGTGTCTAGACAAGATGATTTCCATTGCTGTATTATAGTAATCAGAATTTAATAAGGATCATAAGAATAATGAGAATTACAAACAATGATTATAATAAGAATAATTGATTAGCTAATATATGGACACAAAGAACATGAAAGCATTACGGTCATGAAAATTCGTGGAGAAAAACATATACACCTTTATAATAAATATTATAGTAAAATGTCTAGTTTTCGTCATGCACTATATATATATACACACACACACACATGGTAACCGAGGCAAATTAGTTACAGTAGATTAACAAAACATTTATTTATTTTTAAAGAGACGCTAAAATTACTGACAGAAATTCCTTAAAGGTAATTTCTTCATGGCATTTGCTTTCTCTCATCTGGGTTTAGCAACAGCACTAGCAGACGCTGCATTGGTCAGAACTCACTGAAGGAAGCCCTGCAGTTCGTTACATCTCCTGTCAGTCAAACAGAACACGAACCAAGCCATGGTTCTTGGCTACAGGAGAAAACAAGGGCACTGTGCTGGATAATTACCCCGCCGTGACGATGCTGAGATGCGCAGCCCTCCTCTGCCTTTCACCGCGGCTCAACTCTGGATCGCTTTTATTAAGATGCATCATTTGATCTCTCTGCACCTGAATGCGCTTGCTTTAATTTGATATCAAATGGCGTAAATCTAGATTAGAATGATTTTGCCAAACATATCTCATCTGCTCTGTAGAATCCGATTAAATGCGGGTTGAATTGACAGATTAGCGGCATTATAATAGCTTTCATTGTTTTTAAGATTATAAATTCTCTTTCAAATATTGGTGCATCATTTATTGCGCTTGCAAATCCGATTCGTCTCGCAGGCATCGATCCAGGTAAGAATCATACTTCAAAGTCATACTAATATCCATATGCATAATGTAAGGTTGCATACTAGTTGACTGTCTCTGTGATGCAGTATGTAGTATGCAGTGTGTTTTGCAAACCTGCATCTCTGCTACACGCGTTGCGCAGCAACCAATCAATCAATGCCATTGATGTGTTCAGAAGTGTTACAGTGTTTGAAACCATGGCAACCTGCTCTATGGGATGCAAGAAGACCACCATATTAACAGTGATTGCAAAAATCTAAGGCTTAATTAGGCACTGTTATTGCACTGATGCATTGCAGTGCATCACATATTAAAACGCCATCCATCCAAATGACTTGCATTTAAGCCTGATTCAATGACAGCACAGTTAAAGCCATGTGGGGTTGGTTGGGACTGTACATATTGTTCTTAATGTATAGGCTACTAAGCACCGTACTGTACAGCAGTCTGCCTACACACTCTAATTCTGCATTGCAGACTGAACGATGACACACCAAAACACACTCCCACTCGGCAAATGTGGGGCAATGCATGCAAGAGTTTGCTTTGGATTTCATGCACAAATAGAATTATTTATTTATATGAAATACTTTGCCATCATCATGCAGTAGCAAGACTAGGATCAAATCCATTAATAAGCTGTTATTCCAGTAATATGCAGTGTATATTCATAGTGTACGTCAAAGCATATCCGACTTTAATACACTAGGAATAGCAAAAGAGAAAAATAATAATGGTTCAAATGGGGACAGAACAGCTTGATCATTGCCATAAGAGTTCCTGGTAAAAATGCAAATCTCTTCATAGATTTTTCTCATTAAATAATTTAATATATTATTAAAAGGTACACTTAATCAGTGTGCTGAGTTTAATCAAACAGATTCTGAGTTATGGGCTTAATCTATAGACTGGGGGTTCGAATTCTTGTAGCTTTGAGTGGGATTTTGTTTTAAAGGAACAGTTCACCCAGAAATGAAAATTTGCTGAAAATGTACTCGGCCTTAGACCATTAAATATGTAGATGAGTTTGAGAACAGAACAGATCTGGAGAAATGTATCACTTGCTCAGCAATGGATCCTCTGTAGTGAATGGGTGCCGTCAGAAAGTTCAGAGAGTCCAAACAGCTGATAAAAACATCACAATATATTCACACCACTCCAGTCCATCAGTTAACATCTTGTGAAGCCAAAAGCTACATGTTTGTAAGAAACAAATCCATCAAGATGTTTTAACTTCAAACCATTGCTTCCAGCTAAAATGCGAGTTTTCTATCCATAATATTGCTTCCTCCAGTGAAAAAGTCATCTTGTCTGAATCAGAAGAGAAATATGCACAAATCAAGCACCGTTTCCAAGTGAAAGAGTCCAAAAACATTCTAAACAAATATGTGGCTGCGATTTTTATGCGAGAGACAACAGGAAATTGACTTTTTCACTGGAGGAAGTGTTGGATTATTCATTTTTGCCAGAAGCAACGGTTTGAAGTTGAATAAAAACATCTTAATGCTGAATTTTTCACTTCACAAGACATTAACTGATGGACTGGAGTGGTGTGGGTTACTTGTGGATTATTGTGATGTTTTTATCAGCTGTTTGGACTCTCATTCTGACGGCACCCATTCACTGCAGAGCATCCATTGCTGAGCAAGTGATGAAATTTCTCCAAATCTGTTCTGATGAAGAAACAAACTCATCCACATCTTGGATGACCTAAGGATGAGTACATTACATTTTTTGGGCAAACAATTACTTCAATGCTTTTATTATACCAGCTGCAAAATTCAAAATAAGTATACTACTGTAGCACAGTGAAATAGAGAGGACATTTCCTCTCTCCGTGAATCGTTCTTGTGATTCTGTACTTGTCTCTCTCTCTGTGCATCTAATTAGCGTTCCTGTGGCGATGTGGTAAACAGCACCTGATGCAGGAGAATCATTAGCTAATTGGCAGCATTGATGTTCTCCTCCCCATCTGCAAATCACTCACTGTTGCATCGGATTTTAAACTTGCTATCAGTTTTTTCGAGCCGCCTTCGATTTAAAAAAAAATAGTTCAGCCAATTATGAAAAATCTGTCATCTGCTCACCCTCAAAACGCTTGCACTTCTTCTGTAGCTCCTCCTCCTCGTCATTTATGCCGTTGTCTGTTCCTCACACAAAGCTTCTGTACAACTGAGGACTGAGAAATCAAGATGAATTTTACTGCCATGCAGATTGTTTAGCTAATATTTGGCCATTTTTAGATGACTGAAATCAACTGATAAACCAACCTAAATTTCAGTTTTCAGATTTTCTAATCAATCATGTTAAGTAAAAACCATTTAGAATCGGCGACTGAATCATGTGTCCCTGTGTTTGACCGACAGAAGTTCTCGGACATAAAACTGAGCTCTAACCTCATTGCATAATAGCTAGAGATTTACTATGGCAGAATCAGCCTGCGGCATTGATTTTCCTGTAGGTGCTGAAGTCGACACTTTCACCGCTGCAGAAGCCGGGGCAATTGTATCGCTCTAGCAAAAACAGCAATTCCTAGAGGATTCCGGAAGGTCTTTATATTTGCAAGAAAGTCTTAAAATCATGCGATGAGACCCAAAAAACTATTACTGTAGATCTGAATATACAATGACCCCAAACAGTATTTGGACACTTAAAAATGCCAGAATTGCATTGCATTAGATACAAAATATCAAAGAGTGTCTGTATGCATCTCAAATGCTGCTTCTCCAAACTAACTTTCATTTTCTTCATCATTTTAATCAAATGTTTTGGTGATTTTTAGTGGACATATGAAGTCAGCTGTCCTCAAGTTGAAATGAATAACACTTGCTTTGATATTTTGTTACATACATGACAATAACGTTCAGATATTTTAAGGAGACCACTGACCTCAATGACTAATAGCAGTTTGTTTATAGTTAAAAGTGGTTGAATTTTGACATCAAGAAGCAGCACAAAACAGCAAGATAAGTTTTGCACCAGCTCTACATTTGATTAATAATACATCACCGCTAAAAACCTTCTCGCATTCAGTCTGAATAATGTATCGCCCCTCAAGATGAGTAATCTGAAAAAATGGAGCAGGTGAAGGGCCAGTGAGGACAGAAGAGAAGAGTTAACGATGACTAATCCTGCTTCTGTTTGCTGGCGTCTCTGGCTGCAGGACAGGAGGCGTCGAGCTGCTGCGTCTGTCATTTCCCCTGTCAAAGCTGCTGTCTGCTGACTGATAGGGCTGTGAAGGACAAGGAAAACATTTCAGAAGAGCTAGACAGAGCATAGCGTAGATGATCGTGAATATTTTAGCAAGCACCACAGAAAAACAAATGCACTGAAAACATTTGGTGTAGAAACTATTTTCTCTCAGAATTGCTAGTCAATTTCATAATTACAAAGAAACATCATGTAACACATTTAATTAAACATGAGTTTTTTTGGTAAAACACTACATTGATACATTTACAAAAAAAAAGAAAACAAAGGAAAAAAAACATTTTAGTGTACAGTAATTGCAGACCTAGCCATCCAAATGTAGACTTAAATATGTTCTCAAACATTATTGTTTACATTTACATATTAAACTGCATTGCAATATGACAGCTACAATTTCTTTTGATCTTTCTATGCATTTAAATAGTGTTCACATTTGCATATTATATTGCAATATGAAAGAAAATGTCTTTTGCACTAAAACAAATGTTTTATATGCATAGTTTTATATAGTCTTTAAATGCATTTACATGTTTAACATTTTTACATTTACACATTGTTTACATTTGCATACAGTACTAAATTATATTGCAATATGATTTTTTTTCACATTATCTTTCTGTGCATTTACATACTATGTTTACACTGACATTGTTTTCATTTACATATTAAATTATAATGCAATATGACAGTTCAAGATACACTGTATACAATTATTTGTCAAACAGATTATTGGAGTACTTTTTACAAGAAAACACTATTTCAGTCTATCAATTCAAGTTTAGTCAATGTGTTGCTTTTTTTTTTGTTTCATTTTCTTTTGCAACAGAAAATAATTATTTTAATTTTGATTATCTTTGCAGTGCTGCAGCTGATAATTGCACTCAATACAAAATAAAGCAATATATCAAAAGCATTTTCATTAGTGATCAGCGACTGTTTCTGGCCAGATTGTTATTTCTTGAGTCATGGTGCATGGAAATCGTGTTCATACTAATAATTCAGCTCAGGGTCTATGTATGTCATTTATCCAAGAGAGCTTCTGTCTGTTTAGATGTCTCATTGCCCTCGGAGTGACCATATTTAATCTAGCTGGCACAGAAATCGACCTCTGTAAACATTCACTAGCACTAACTGGATTCAGGAGCATCATATGTTGTTCGTAAGAAGCAATCATAGCTATACAGATGCATTCATTTATATGCAGGTATCACTGTTGTCACGTTCTATACCGGCGGTTTTCTCCATTAGTACCCAAGGGAAGCACGCTGGAGGAGCCCAGGCTATTTTTTTTATCCTTGTCTAGGTCACAATGTGAATCATCTTCACTACTAGGATGCCGTTGGCAAGATCCAGGCAACATGCAGCACACCCTGTTCCCACTGTAACTTGCTTTTACTGTGGTTATTTGCATGGGTGAGTGTGTGTGCATTTTAAGATTTTCCTAAATACTTACTTCCATTGTGTCTCACACTCCTGGAGGAATTTATTTGATTGGAATTTACTCTCTTAAAGGAATAGTTCACCCGCAAAATGAAAATATGCTCAAAATGTACTCACCCCCTCAGACCATCCAAGATTTGTTTCTTCATACGAACAGATTTGGAGAAATGTAGCATTCCATCACTTGCTCACCAATGGATCCTCTGCAGTGAATGGGTGCCGTCAGAATGAGAGTCCAAACAGCTGATAAAAACATCACAGTAATCCACAAGTAATGTAAGTAATCCACAAGCTGCATGTTTGTAAGAGACAAATCCATCATTAAGATGCTTAAACTTCAAATTCTGGCTAAAATCTATCCATAACATTGCTTTCTCCAGTGAAAAAGTCGTTTCGTTTGAATCAGGAGTGAAATATGCACAGATTAAGCACAGTTTACAAGCAAAAACAGTTCTAAACAAATATGTTGGCGGATTTTGATGTGAGGAGGAGAACAGGAGACTGACTTTTTCACTGGAGGAAGTGTTATTATGGATTATGAACTGTATTTTAGCTAGAAGCAATGTTTTAAAGTTAAAAAAAAACCATCTTGATGGATTTGTTTCTTACAAACATGCAGCTTTTGGCTTCACATGATGTTAACTGATGGACTGGAGTGGTGTGGATTATTGTGATGTTTTTATCAGCTGTTTAGACTCTCATTCTGACGGCACCCATTCACTGCAGAGGATCCATTGGTGAATGCAAGTGAATGCTACATTTCTCCAAATCTGATGAAGAAACAAACTCATCTTCATCTTGAATGGACTGAGGGTGAGTAAATGTTAAAAATGAATGTGAATAGCAAGCTCAGATCATTTGGAAAAAAAATGATGAGAATTTGTGTTTGTGCATGCAGGCTCTCTGGATCTTTCTCTGCAGTGTAGTTTGCATTGTTCATGGTGTCTTTGTGAAAGCCCTGCTGACAGCAGCTGTCATACTGTCGCTCGCAGGAACGGCAATGCAGCGCTTCTTTTATGCAGATCCACACAAAGACTGGAGGGGGTTTGGCAATATCCACTGTAACGAAATTACACCGCATTAGTGCAACAGGTGCTAAAATTATGTTAGGAAGATTTAAACTGGGTGAAAGTTACTCAGCAGCAGAACAGCATGGACTGGTTTCCTCCTGATCCTGGACTAAGTGCAGAAACTTTAACGGAGAACATCGGTGGTAATGGATTGACCTGTGATTGGTGAACGGTCCCTTCGGTTTTGAAGAAAAAATGGGTGACCATTTTACTTCTGAGTTAAATAAGAAATTCAATGAGAAAAAAATAAGATGTAGATGCATTGATGTATCAACTGAACAAATGAAAAAGTGTTTCTATGAAAATGTTTGTTGAAAAATCTAAAAGGACTTGTGATGTCAGACGAAAAGTAATTAGAGAGTTATTAAAATTATTACATTTTGATTAAAGATTATGAAGACAAAGATTAATGATAACTGATAAATCAGTCAAAATAATACCAGGAGCCAGATTCACAAACATTGTGAAGAATAAAATTATTGTATTATTCTAATTTTATTAATAAAATTATAATATTTTTGTCTAATTTTCTAACTTTAGAAAAAGGCTAAGTATTTTTTGTGTTTAACCAAAAATAAAAATAAAATAATAATAATTAAATAAAAAAAATGTTTTAAACAAAGTCATACAAACCATTGAAAATAACCTCTAAAATTAGGATAAATCCCAAAAGGTAAAATGTTTAAAGAATTTACTATTATATATATATGTTTGTAATGAGCAGTAGCTACATTGCCCCAAAAAAAAAAAAAAAAAAAAAAAGATTTTCAAACTTAGTA